TAGCCCTTCATCTTCTAACAGTGCAGATTTGTGCTTCGTCTTGGAAGGCCCTGATTTTGGAATTTGGGTTTCTCCTTTTTTCAACTGCAGGATGGAATTTAGAATGTGAATCTGATGTCCCTCTGATAGCATTCCCTCTTCCCCTTTGCAAACATTAAGAGGACATTAATTTTGATAGCCAGAGATGAATAATTCTTTGAATTAAATTACAGCCCTGGTGACTTCAAAGATACGTCCAGGTCTAGAGGAAATACTTTAGGGGTTGATAGCATGCTGGTGTAGGAGATGACCAGGCTAAGTCCGAGGGAGGGATCAAACACATCATCAGTCATGAGTCCCTTCGTGCCCACAAGAGGTCTAAATTCAGCCTACCTTGAATTCCTTCTACTCTTATCTTTCGCCAATTTCCGTTGGCTGTTAGTAATTCAGATTCTTACAGAGAGCTCAAGCTTACAATAAATCTTTATATCCATTTGAACTGTCTGGATCTCCTGTTTTTTTCTGGCGCTTGACAGCTAAGTCCCTTCCTTGTAGTTAGTGATAGTTTGATCAATTATGTGCCATTAAATTATTTTTGACTCCTAGTGATCACATTTTCTCCATGATGATCTAGATCTGTCTTGTTATTTTAGATCTCCTAATGGGGCACCCATCGTGCTATAACAAAGTCTATCCATCTTGCTTCAGGCCATCCTCTTTTTCTTCTTTCCACCTTTCCTAACATCAGAGCTTTTTCCAGAGAGATCTTTGCGTAATATGTCTGAAATAGAATACTAATAGCCTGGTCATTTGTGTCCTTATTGAGAATTCTGGGTTGATTAGTTCAATGATCCATTGGTTTGTTTTCTTACTTGTCCACAATATTCACAGCAATCTTTTCCAATACCAAAGTTCAAAAAGAATAGGTACTACTTTTTGGGGGGTATGTTGTGAAATAGGAAGATTTTATGTTTATTAATGGTTTTGTTTTTATTTCCTTCTTTGCAATATTTGGTAACTGTTTAGAACCTTGTTTGGGGTTGAGCAACAAATAAATTGCAGAAATAAATAAAATTAAAATAATAGATACATGCATCTGTGCTGGTTTGGGGGCCAAGCAAACAAAACCACATCTTATCCTGGAATGCTCCTAGCTCAGCCTCCGCTTTGGTCTTCCTCATGGTGGAGTTATTGAGCCTCCCATAGAAGCAGCTCAAAATTCTGTTACTGGCTTTTCCCTTGGGAGACTAGAGCCCCAACTCTGCTCTTCAGAGGGAAAATCTGATTGGATTTATGGCTTCCTGGACACCATCCCAGAACATTGGATTGTAACGTAAGTGTAACCGGAGATAGTTGCTTCTAAATAGAAGATAAAAAGGCTAGATGTTTAGTTTGTTTTTAGGAGCAATGATACAGCTGTTGGTTTAGAACCAGTTATTAATCTTGTGTTATAACTGGGCTGTTCAGAGACTTGTAAACTGCATCTAGGCCTTATTTCCAATTATGTGTAAGGAGAGTGATCAAATGTGATTTGGGGACACAATTCAATCTAGTAAGATGGTAAAGCACAAGGAATACACATTTGTTCATACCCCTTTTGGCTGTACCTTTCCACAGTAAGCAACATTATGCATAGAAAAGAAGTTAGACATAGCAGGTCAAAGAAATTAAACTGAGAAAAGAAAAATAAATACAGGTAGTTCAGTATACCCATACCCTCCACTACAGTCCTCCATGCCTTTCGATCCTTGCAAATCCTTTTTGTTTCTTTCATATCCATCTACTGCTCTGTACAGTGCTTCTTGTTCTTCAAACTTATTGCCTCTCTCTTTTTGCCTGTTTCACAATCCCAGTTAACCTCAACCTTCCTGGTCTTTCCTTTCCTGCTTTTCAGATATTTGTTTTGCAGTTGTATACTAATTCATTCTCTCTATGTGATGAACCACCTCAGCATCAAATTCAATTCAAATCAAATTACCTCAAACACGCAAATTTGTGAAGCATGCCTTTTCATACTCTTGTATTCAGTTCACATTCATTACTCATTCATTTTTTATTCTGTCTCTTCTTGTTTTGCACTACATACTTCTTGAGTAGCCCTTTTCCATTACATTCAATTTACTTTTTTGTTACTCCTAGTGAAGCCACCTAATGAACCCATATAAAAAAGTAAGATACTTACACAGTATCATTTTTGCTTCTTTTGACAAATATTTAGTTCTCACAAAAGATTGTCTTCTAATCGAAAGCCAGAGATGAAGTCTTCACAAACTCATTAAATGACTTGTACAGACACTTTGTTAGCAAACCACATCCATATTCTAATCCAGCGGTTCTCAACCTATGGGTCGCGACCCCATTTGGGGTCAATCGACCATTTCACGGGGGTCGCCAAGCAAGGCTGTCCGCCATTTTTTCCCCCCTTTTCCGGCGGGTGCCTTACCTCCCTTGAGCTGGGCCAGCTGGTGGTCGGCCTGCTCCGTCTCTGCTGCTTGCCAGCTATGCCTCGGCCGGCGCAGGGGGCGGAACCACGCATGCGCGGCGCTCCCGGGCAGGGAAAGTCCTCGACTTATGACCGGTTGGGTAGTCCTCGACTTACGACCAGTTTAGTCCTCGACTTATGACTGGTTTAGTCCTCGACTTATGACCGGTTTAGTCCTCGACTTACGACCGGTTTAGTCCTCGACTTACAACCGGTTGGGGGTCGTGGCATTAAAAAGGTTGAGAACCACTGTTCTAATCTAACATTTTTCTGGTTAGTTCATTTATATCTGCAACTTTAGCAGTTTGAATATTTCAGATGATTTTCTTTTATCAATTTTTTTACTTGCATACTAACATTTACAACGTATGTTTTACTGCCCCTCTTTGACAATCATACGACATTGCTCTTGAAAATATTCCTTGCAGTATTATTCCCCCTTCAGATTTGTCCCAAATGATTTCATTATTTTTATTTTTTATTTTTATCTCTGTTTGATGTTTTTTGTTTAGCTCTTCTCACCCTCTTCTAACATAAATTTTATTTTCATCCAAAACACTCTGCAATTTCTCTATTGTTTCCATATGTTTGGTTGCTATTAGATCAGCTTTTTTCAAATTTGGCAATCTTAAGATATGTGGACATCAACTCTCAGAATTCCCCAGCCAGTTAAAGTCTACACATCTCAAAGTTGCTAAATTGGAAAACACTGTATTAGTTGAACATACAGATATATACCTCCACTCCTTAGGGTGTCTTTGATCAGTAAAAACTTTCACATAATACTTTTCAGTGAAACAGAAAAGGTATAGAAATGTTTCCAGCCTTAGTTGCAGATTGCCATGTACAGCATCCTCTACTTATAGCAAAAATAGTACTGGTCAGTTTGAGCTGGTGGACTACAAGTATAATTTAATCTCAGTTTTACTTCAAGCATGTTCATGTTATCCTCTGTAAATTAAGAGCTCTAATCTAGAGAATATCTTACAAACCAGCATATTGTTGCCTGTACCCTATCAACTCAGAGATACATTAATGTCCTGAAACACACACAGGTTATGTGCAGTGGTGGGATTCAAATATGTGAACAACCGGTTCTCTGTGTGGATGCCACTTCCGGAAGTCGATTCTGGGCCTGGGCAACAAAAAAATTAGCTACCAGTTCTGCTGAACTGGTGCGAACTGGTTGAATCCCACCACTTATTATGTGGATGCACTAAACCATCTCCATAGATTCAACAGCGGAGAACTTTAGGGTGATATTCAACAACATGCTAAATTGTGTTGGTGTTAAGCTTGATTATGTTCATTGTGGTTCATTCTATTGTGTGTACCTATATTATTTGGTTAAACTGTGGTTTGGCATATATTGAATTGAATCATGTATTGATCTGAGGCAGCATTCTCCACTCTCACAGTTCTTGCCACCAAAATGTAGAAACTTGTAACTTTCTTGTCTTGAGAAGAATAGACGAGATTCTCCTTTCCAGAATCCTTAGCCAGCATGGCCTAATTGTGATGATGAGTATTGTGGCTCTATGAACTTCGTTAGGGTATAGGTTCCTTGACCTCATGCTGTGCCCTTGAGCTGTGACCATCTCTTATTATCAAGGACTTCCTGAAAATTATTTATAGTGGTACCTCGCTACTCATTAATTGGTTCCGTGAGGCACGTTGAGTACTAAAAACGATGAGTACCAAACCAACCATGTGACTTACTATGTGACCTTTTGTTTTGATTGGGAAAGACTTCTTGTCTGTGTCTTTTCCTATGTCAGCGACCTTCCCAGCATGGCCGATTTCCTGTCCGCCCTCTGTAGCTGTCCCCCTCTTCCTTTTGCAGCAACCTTCCCTGCATGGTCAACGTCTTGTCTGTTCTCTGCGGCTGTCTCCTTTTTCCTGTCACAGAGTGTCGAGACCAAGCAAACAATGAGTACTGGGACAACATTTTTATGTTAAAATGTGTTGAGTACCAAATTTGACAATTTTTGAAACAGTTGAGTACTGAGATACTGCTGTATTTGTTTAGTTCTTGTCTTTATATTCTGACTTTTCCAACAAGCTCAAGGTAATATGTAATTTTTCCTCTATATCCCCCCTGCCTTTCATTTTTATTCCCACAATAACTCTATGAGTGGGTTGGGTCTTTTCATGGCTTTGGAGGTGTGTGTGAATCTGGGTCTTCCCAATTACTATCTCAAAGATGCTTTTTCAAGAGGCAACTGGACTTTCTTTATTTTCCTTGAAGACGTATCACTTCTTATCCAAGAACTGAAGAAGTCCATTTGCCCTTTGAAAAAACATCTTTGGGACAACCATGACCTGGATGACTGAGAATCTCTGTAGATATTCCCAATTACAGTCTTGTGTTGGATCCCACTAACTCTTGATCATTGATGATTGAGAGTATTATCATTTTAATAGCTGGAATGTTGCTTGGGAGAAAAGAACCTGTTTAAATTTAATCACAGTACTCTGATTTATTTTTTTTCCTTTTTTCCTTTATTTGTTCCTCTGTTCCAGCAAGCCTTGATCTCTAGGGACCACATTCTCCATGGCATGAAACACAGGCAGTGACTTGGGCCAGCCAGCCACCTCCAACCGCATGAGGTGGCTTCTCTACAAAAGATGATAGGGAAACTCAAGCAGAACCTCTTGCTGGTCTGTCTGGTGATTAGTTCAGTGACTGTCTTCTACTTGGGGCAACATGCTATGGAATGCCATCACCAAATAGAGGAACGAAGCCAACTGACCCGACTAGAGCCGGCCAAAGCAACCACAAGAACCAGCCAGGGCACGAAGGAAAATGCCACACTGGCTTATAACAAAGACATGCCTTTAATATTTATTGGGGGAGTACCCCGGAGTGGCACCACCTTGATGCGGGCAATGCTAGATGCTCACCCAGACATCCGCTGTGGAGAAGAGACACGGGTGATCCCTCGGATTTTGGCTGTCAAGCAGATGTGGGCCCGATCAAGCAAAGAGAAAATGCGGCTCAATGAGGCAGGTGTCACAGATGAGGTGCTGGACTCGGCCATGCAGGCTTTCCTCTTAGAAATTATCGTGAAACACGGGGAGCCAGCTCCTTACCTGTGCAACAAGGACCCCTTTGCCCTCAAGTCTTTAACTTACCTTGCCAGGATTTTCCCCAATGCCAAGTTTATTTTGATGGTCAGAGATGGCCGGGCCTCCGTTCATTCCATGATCTCCAGGAAGGTCACCATTGCTGGCTTTGATCTGAATAGCTACAGGGATTGCCTGACCAAATGGAATCGTGCCATTGAGATCATGTATAACCAGTGCTTGGAGGCTGGCCTCGACCGTTGCATGATGATGTATTATGAGCAGCTGGTCTTGCACCCAGAGCAGTGGCTCAGGACACTCCTCAAGTTCCTCCACATCCCGTGGAATCCTGCAGTTCTGCATCATGAAGAAATGATTGGGAAGGCTGGGGGAGTGTCCCTATCAAAGTGAGTCTGCTTCTTCCTGGGTGGGGTTTTTAGAAAGCCCTTAGTAGAACACAGTTTGTCCAGCTGTTTGTTTCCTCTAAAATACTCAAAAAGGGCTGGGATGTTTTTTCTATGGCCAGGGTTACACATAACAATTACAAAAATGTATCCCGCAAAATTCAGAAAAAACAAAAATATTTTTCTACCTCAGCCATTTTTTTCCAGAAATTATGGTCCTTACCAAACATTTCTGAAATTAGCAACCATCCTCATGTACAGATGCCAGAAATTACCCTTCACTGCAGGAAGCTTCAAGGATAGGGATGCAGGATGGAACATTTTTCTGTTGTTACATTTTCCATTGCGGAAAGCTCCATTTCTAAAATGGCATTATTTTAAAATTGTATGCAAATTAGGTAAAAGGGTACCCGTGAATTCAACCTTCTTCACAGGCTTGGTGTGTATGTGTGCATATGCATGTGGGGGGAGGGAGAGAGAGAGGAATGGAGGAAGGACTGCCTTTTGCAGGAATGGTTGTTGTTATGGGATTGACTCCCTTGAGAGTTGGGCTTAGCCTAACCCATTTGAAAATTACCTACTGTTCTCCTGCCCAAGTGGAAGCTAAAGAGAAGAATAAAACAAGGGCAGTAATTCATGCAGAGATGCAGCAGGCGGTTAAGCTCATGGGGCTTTTCATCATTTCAGTGCATCCATTCCTTATGACAACAATGGCCACCCTGTAGTATGCAGGTTGGGCGTGACTGGCTTCAAGACTATAAATATTTATTGTTAGTAAGAATATTGTCTTGTGATAAACCAGCAGAATCATTTTTCATCAGTCAGATCAAGATTGAAGGATAAACAAGTCTCTCTTTACTTTGTCATTTTCATCTGCAATCCCAAAACAGAATGTGAAATGCTGGTGCTGTGCAGAAAGAGAGAGAGAGACAATACTTTGATTTCTTTGTAGTTATTTGTCTTAAGCAGTGCAAATATGCAGCAGACTACAGCAAAAGAAAACAGGAGAGACATCTGATTGTTAAGTACCAAAGTAGTAGATCTCAAACATTATTTCTCCTCTTCAAAATGCTGCTTTTAAAAAGGAGATGGGGAGTAGTTTTAAACATTCACATCAACCATTTTACTTACAGAAAACAGTAGCAGCTATGTCAATTACAGGGAAAACAAAATCCCTTCTGTTATACAAACTAAAATTTTACAAAATCATTTCAAGTTTGAAGCACAAAAACTTGCAGGGATTTTGTGGAATTTGAGTTAGTCTAACAGAGAAATTGCCCTGTGGGTTTTTTTCTACCTAATGAATACTTGGCAGCTCACAGTAAAAAAAGAAAAAAAAAAGGAAACGTAAAACAATTAAAAATTCTTAAAATCATTATGGTTTAATCCAAAATTCTGGACCAAACAGAAGTATCTTGATTGCTTTCTTAAAGAAGTGGAAAGAATTGGCCCCATTGACAAAAATTGATCCTGGTGGTTTACTGCTGGCTTAGATGCTAACTGTAAATACTGTTTATGGCATTGAAGCCACTGATCAGTCCCAACTTAACATGCCACAGTGTGGTTGGTACTGGTGACAAGAAAATAACAGCTGGTCATAAGGAATGTATATGCTCTACCAAAATGGCAAGGGGAATGCCTGCTGCATCTCTGTATGAATCGCTAAAGTTTTTTTGTGTTTTGCACAACGGCAAGAAATTAGGCCATCAGGTGCAAGCAGTCATGGTCTCAGGGAGCCCTAAGGGCTAGAGCAGGGGTGTCAAACTGCTGGCCCGCGGGCCGGTTTCATCATACCGAAACCGCGTCCACCCCATTGCTGGCAATGCAAAAAGAGTCGCGATACGTCATGACACATCACGTGACGTGGCGAGTTTGACACCCATGGGCTAGAGAATGTACAGGGGCAGCCTGCAGCTGTAAGGCTACAGATTTCTTAATTTGAGTTTAATTGGATCATTCAATCAGACATGCAGGAAAATTGTAGCTCTGTGTAATTGGTTACTCTGCATTGATCAACTTCTTCTGGGTAGGGGTAATTCTTCAGTGTCATCAGCTCTATTTGGATAATTCAATTATTCATGATCTGAAAGGCAGCAGAACTGAGGAACGCCCTACCTACAGTATTGTATCATGTGTGGCTGTTCTAAGCCATTCTCCTTTTAGCTAGAATTCTTATTGATTGCATACATGCCTCTATATGCAGATTTGTAACACATAATCCTCCCCTTTCTCCTCCCCCTTTCCCTAAAATTAGGCCTCCCTGGATATGAAGAGAGGTTTTCCCCTATTTTTAGATGAAAAGAGAAAATTTGATAAACTCCCAATTAATGTACTGATTTAAAGCTTGCTGTTTAGACTATTAAAAAGAATGCTTAGCAAATGGAAACTGTTTGCACCCTGGTTGTGCTGTGGGTATGTATATGCACACATAGGGTAAGGATAAATATTTCATAAACTTAGCAGTCCAGTTTGTTTGTCCTCTCATTTCATTGGACTCAATTGCTCCCCTCACACTCTTATGGAGCAATATTTACTTAAAGTAGTACCTAGAGATTGTCCAAGCCTTACTCAAAGAAATTTTAAACCTCCATAGTGGATCCCTGCTGCCCGGCTCATTTATTGTGGTTTGAGTGACAAGGCCAGTCCTGTAGCAATTTTCATTTCACCTCCCTCCCCCCCAAAATCCAGAAAACAAATCTGGATTGACACTGATGTGAAAAGAGGCTGCCTGAACTGGCAGTAACTCAAGGCAGCACAAGATGCGCTGTGGCTGAAACACATTGCCAGCGTGGCTCTTGGCGAACAGGCTGGGTGCATGGAGTCTTGCCATAACTAGCACTCTAACTCTGGCATTTGCCCTCTTCTTAATAAAAAACAGCTGGAGCTGGTGGAGAGAATGTCATATTTTTTTTAAGGAAGCAGCGGAAACCGGATTTTTCCCCCCTTTATTATTGTCAGCAGAGCCACAGACAGAAGCAATCCGAAGAGGAATGTACAGGGTGGGTTTTTTTGTGAGGTGGGAGAGAATGTTATTTGCTGTCCTGTGTTGGAAGTCGAGAGAGTGAAGGCTTCTTGGAGAAAGAGGAAGAAGCTTAATACCAAGTCATGTTTTTGGTCTGTCTGGCTCCAAAACAAGGATTGGCAGCAGACTTCCTGGATTTCAGATAGAATTTTTTTCTAGCCCTACCTGATGATGCTTGATTGCTCTTTTCCTCCCTACTGGCAGCAGAGAATCTGAAATTCAGCCATTCAGATGTGGATCTGAAGCTGGAAAAGGTGCTTTGCAGTGCCTGTTGGAGCTTCTTTCAGGATGCTTTGTCTTTTCCTGAGTTTCCATGGTCTGTTTTTTTAACAAGCTGCTGAATCTGAAGCATCTTTCTTACTTTGGATCCAAATACTGGACACCTCTGCTTCTATAGTAAGCATAGCAGATGCTTTGGGAGCTGTATTGAGAAATAAGACTGCCTCTAAGCAGAGAGGTTTAATTAGTCCATCATGGCGACTGACCACAGTAACATTTTTCTCTTTCTTTCATTGTGAACATGCCTGATTATTCATTAAAACTGTCGAGTTGGGTGGTCCGTTAAAAACTTTTGATGGTAAGTTCCAGGGTGTAATGAAACACTGAGATGAAGAGTTTTCTTCCATCTATCCAAAACATATGACAATTTGTTTCATTAGGTAATCCTGAATTCTTGGTATATTAATGCATATTCAATCAGGCCATTAGTAATGGCTGTGTCTGTCCTTTCTCAGTGACAAGCCAGGGTATATTTACATAACTTGTGTTTACCAGGTCAATTAAAGACCTAGCATGCATTGTACAACAAGCTGCATTCGATTACTGCTAACTGAGGTTAATACGGACCAACATTTACAGTTAAAATATTGGAACCTTTTCAAATCCGTCCTCTGCCATGGAAACTCATTAAGTAACCCTGGTTGTTTTCTTTCATCTCACAGAGTCAGGGGACAGCCCTGGTACGTTGCCTTCAACTTCTGAAAAAAAGGGCTTGCTATAAATCCCAAGGATGCTTTTTCAAGAGGCAACTGGACTTTCTTGTTTTTCTTTGATATAAATCTAACAAAACAAAACAATTTAATTTAAAATGTAGTTAAAATCATATTGGCTAATCCAATTAACAGGATTGTTCCTTAATGACTTAACAATTTTTTTCCTCCTGTTGCTTCAAAAATTACAATTAATCGTGATTTTGAAATGATGTAAGAGCCGTGCTCTTGACGCTGAAGAGACTCAACAGGTTACATTCTCCTGCTAAAAGGTAGATGAGATCATTTAGACTAGAGGGAAAGCAAAATAGATGCAACAGAGATATACAGTTCTGGATTTGTTGCTGTGAAAAAGACCATTCTCAGGTTTTTTTCTGGAGGAAAAATGGAAATCTATGCAATAATTGTATTCATTTTATCCTTCAAATATCTGCTTTAGGAACATAAACTGTCTTATGTATATCTTGCTTTACTCATTAGAAACTATCATTTTTGCATACTTATTAAATGTAAAGTTCTAATTATACAATAATGTACATTTATTAAGTTAAATTTTTTGAAACTTTTTGTTACAAATGAAAGTATGAACTATTGAACTCTAAGATAGCTGGGAACTTTTTTCAGTTTGATTTGTCGCATAAATAAGACTGAGAAGAGAAAACAAGAACAACATGACATGTAAATAGGATTATATATTCTCTTAAATTTTTCATGTGTTTACATTTTTAGAATAACAGCTAAGGAAATCAGGGAAAAATAGATTCTTCATGGAAAAATACTGCTTTTAGGCACTGCCTAATCGCTGAGCTATTTATTATTACTTTACTACCAGTTTCTGCATTTTCTGAAAATTTATTTTTACCCTCCTGATGGACTTCTAATTCTTAAAATAAGAGATTTGCTTACTGAGGCAAGCTTCATACTCTTTTACCTGATACAGGTATTCCTCAACTTACAACTATTCAGAAAAGTGACATGACTGGCAACATCTTTCTTCTTTTGTGACCCAATGACATTGCTTTCTTCTCATATCCAGTCCATGACAGTGATGGCTTCAGATCATCATAGGATTTCCTCCCCCCTCCCCCCTTCTGATCCTATCAAAAGGCCCCTCAAACCACACACAATGTATAGGACTATGATTTACTGGGGATTGGCAATGACTGGAAACAAAAGCAATAAAATAAGAAATAGCAATGGGGATAGTACAGATTCTATATACGCTGGTTCAGTTTTCTCCAACTCAAAGATGTATGAACATAGCAACATACCATTTCTCCAGTGGGCAAGATTAACAAAAAACAGGTAGGGCTTGCATTTCATTATTTTGTGAGAATAACTTTCATGCAACTATATCGATTAATATATGCGTGCATATATTTTGGAGCAGAGTTGAAAGATCTACGGACCAAGTTATTAAGCCAGTTAATGTGGAAGCCTTGTCGAAATGGGTTGGAAAAATCCCCACTGATGTTCTTCAGGATATGCCAGTGATTGCACCAATGTTGGGGAAACTTGGCTATGACCCCTATGCCAACCCACCCAATTATGGGAAGCCGGATCAGAAAGTCCTTGAAAACACAAGAAGGGTAAATTGCCATGTTATATTTGTGAATGTGTGTGTATGTGTAAATGAAGCTGATGCTATTGTAAAGTGTGGGTGCTTTATAGAATGTGGTGGGCAAAAAAAAAAAGACAACTGTTTTTGGAAGTATATAATCTTGGGGTTGGGGATTGTGCAAGTCACTGCTGAATCTTTCAAAGAAGGATTGCATTTGATAAAGGTCTTTTAGAACCCTCCCATTCAAATGGGTCTGACATAACACAGTTTCCCCCTATATGATGTGCATGTGCATTGGGATATTAACTCTCTTTGGCCTTGCTGCCTAACTCTTCTGGGATTTAAGATCCAATTAATTTAGAGTTTGGATATGTCCTCTGTCTCTTCCTCTATGGTCCATGATAAATGCAACATTTCAAATAGTACCACAGGTAACAGTAATATACAACAGTAAATGCATTGTAGAAATCACATCTAATGCACAACAGAGTTTGGCTTATCCAGAAGTTTGGCATTAACCTGGAAAGAGAATGAATGAAATGTGCGAGTAAAAGTACTCTGCATGGTTTTGTAACAGCAGCTCTCCTGTAGTTAAGAAAAATGAGTTGACTTGATGAGTTGAGCTCAGCTCTTAGTAACTTTATGAATATATACATCTCAGGAGTTATTTTGGTAACAACAAGGAAGTGGTCTGTTTTAGCTTTTTAGGAAGTCTTTTGGACTATCCAGCTTAGTTTTTGAGATCACCCAAAGGCCATGATGTGGTGCTACCATTCTACAGAAATTGGTTGACCGGTTTACTCAGGGCAGCTTTCCTCCCTGCCCTTCCTTGAGTCCCTACATCTATTCACACCCCAGCTTCTTATCTGGGGAATAAAAGTTTGCTAGTCCTGCAACATTTCCAATGTTGATGATAGTTTATCTTTCCTTAACAAGTACTCTTTGTAGGACTTTCTTCCTCATAAAAGCCTCTCCTGAATGTCAAAGGACCAATAGAAAGAGTGTGAAGTAGATTGGGTCATATGTGTAGGCTGTTCCCTTCTCTTTTCCTGCAGCCCCTCTATATCAGTTTAATACTCAGTGTAACATGATAATCTGATTTCTATCAGATATTTTGGACCACAACCAGGTATTGAGTGTAATGGGCCCTCGAAAAATATTAATATTTGGAACATGGCTTCTGTTTCAAAGTTTGTTTTCTTTTTTCCCAGGTTTATAAAGGTGAATTTCAACTACCTGACTTCCTAAAAGAAATGCCACAGGTAAGGATTCTTGGAGCCCTCATCTCATGAAGGTTCTAGGGAAATATTGATAACGTCAATGACCTTCTGATTCAAGGGCCATGCAAAGGAATACAATCAGAATTGTAAGTTCACCTAGTGAAGTGATGTTGAGTTATAAGAAGCAACGATCACTAGCAGGTTGTGTCTCAATTGCAGGGTTGAATTGTTTTCACACAAGTTTGTTTTTAAAAATGTACAAAAATATTTTGCAATCATTTATCTTGTACATTCCTTGTTCACACATTAATTTCAGCTTTCTTTCCCCAAGCTGGTACCCTCTAGATTTATTGGACCACTTTAGTGTATTAAGATATATGTCATAGTCCAAAAATGTTGGACTACAATTGTCAATAATATCCAACTGGCATGGCTAAAGGGGAGTTGAAGCCTTTTAGTGTGGCCAAAGAAAACAATTATTAAATTAGCTTTCATTGGCAACTTTTGGAGAGAACATGAGGACCACCTGTGGCTTTGAGAACTCAGATTATGCACCCACATTTTATGCAATAACACACTAGTTTCATGGGTGGGGGAAAAAGCCTCTGAAACAATAAATGAGAGAACAATTTTATCCCCAGTGAACATTGACTTTTTTCTCATTGCAGCTAAGGAAGACAGTAGAAAGGAAGTCTCATATCAAGCTAAAATGAAGAAGGAGTTGATAAAGTAGAGTAGTATATACTATTTGTCTGCTTTTTTTAGAGCACTGCCGCTTTCTTGGCTGCAGGCACCAGAATTCCTACTGATAAGCTGCTGTTGCGTGTGGGCCTGCATCTGTTCTGTCTCATGTGCAAAAGAGCTATTTGCCTTAGCTCTTCACATTCTTTTTGATCAGTTTATGCTTTGGCTTGGCTGGCCAGTGCTTGACTAATTTGCAGCCTTAAAGGATTTATTCCTGCTTGGGTTTGTGTGGTGTTCCTTCTCTCCAATGATGCTTAATTCTATTTTTTTGTGTCTTGTACCCCCAACATGTTCCACAAATCTTGCATTTTAAATTGCCAACCAGTTAAAGAGATTATTTCCATTATTTGTTGTGTCTGGAAAGATTGTAAGAATATAAATTAATTTTGGGAAACAGTGATTAGAAAAAATCCATACGGAGCAACAGTAAAATAAGAATTCAGATGCTGAACAATTAGTGAAAACTGAATATGCTCAGCCTCTGTAGATTGCTAATTGTGGAATAAACTAAAAGAATGTGAAGGGATAGAATATTTGGAAGAAGGTATTGTTGCTTGACTGGCATTCTGAAGAGACTTTCATTTTACAATCTTTGGCCACAAGCCCTACATGTTCCATTAATTGAAGGAATCAGAAAGCATTAGCAAAAGAGTCTCTTGTGTCAAAAGGATGAGAGCTACCAGGGAAGGCTCATCCTCTTCAGGTTTGTGAGGTTCCTAGAAATATGGCTGACCACTGTTGAAAATAGAATGCCAAATTCCATGGATTTCCCCTCTAATCCTCATGTTTAGTTTTTAATCCCCGACAAATTAAACATGCAGATATAAACAGCATTGCACCGTAAGGCAATGTAATATCATGTATTAATATTTAAATATGATGCACTACAAGCCCTTTGTAGTTTATTGCTATCAGCCAGGTCTTTATTGCTAGAGTTATCTCAACCCAATCTGGCATTTTGGCAAACTTGATCTTGCCTTGTAATGAATTTCATTTCAAAAGTTTTAAACTGTTTTAGCTAAGTTTAACTCCAAGCAGATTACATGTGTAGCCGTTGCAATAACAGTGATATGCAATAAGGTACAATGACAGAATTGCATACATAATTATAAAATTATAACTAATATTTTCTTGGTAGTGGCAGCTCTAAAGTGCTAAAGTACCAAACACGGTCCATAACAACTAAATTTGGATGAGTTGCCAAAAGGCCAGGGAGTTACCCTTGCCTTGTGTGGGCAGGGGTGGGGAATTCCATAAATGTTCTTGTATGATTGAAGTCTGATTTTCAGCAAAGCTAAGTTAGATAGGCCCTTGCTCTGCTTTAACATGAAGCAAGTTTCTTTGGTCCCAGTGACCTGAAATCCCAAGATATTTTGCCCTTAAATAGATGAGAATGGAAATTTAATTTCTGTCTAGGTATTTGAACAAGTAGAAATGGAAGGATTTATGTTCCATGAATTTGTCTTGTCCCTTTTTATAAATAATCTGCACTAGTGTCAACTAGTATACATTACCCTGATGTGGGGAGAAAATCTGTATGCATTGTAGAAAAAGAAGTCGACTGTACTACCATTATTTTCCACAAAGTGATGTAATGGTGGTTCCAGTATTAGAAGTTGATAAAAATATTTTGAATTCAAGTATAGTTTCAATATACATTTGAAAAATAACACTTTATCCCCTTTTTTTCATAGACTGATGCAGTGAACTAGAAGACTGGATGCGACTTAATGTATGTAATTGTTAATAAAATGGACTGTTTGTTTCTTCATCCTCTTTACTTACATTTTCCAACAGTGTATATAATATTTATTTATTAAATTATTAAATTTAGATGCCACCCATAATGGGTAGAGTAACTTACTATCCCACTTTGAGCACAACCTTATTCTCGCTCTTTGGGACACAATCTATTTAGAAATGGTCTGTCACAAGGCCTCTTAAAATGGGTGCACAAATACATGTGAATTCTAGCATAACTTTGCTGGCGAAGATGAGACCCTTGAATGTTGATATATTTGGAAGCTGAATATGGTGGCCTTTCTTGGAAGAAACCCTTTTCAGTGGAATTTTCTGGCTCTGGCAATGAAAATGGAAATTTCCAAAATATTGCAGAAGAGCAGATATATATTATTGATATATTATTACTTTCATTATTATTATCATTATTATACCACCGTTAATTCTGGTATCAAATAAATAGTTAGAATCCTTCCCTTTAAATGAGTCAGTTAGAAAAAAAAATCAAGCATAATAGACATTCATGCTGATGAATGAGAGCCAAAGGATATAAAACCAGTTTTCAAGATTCTGCAACCAAATCCTTTGCTCATTGCAATGAATCTGCCTTCTCTGAATCTGTGAGAATTGCTCTTTCTAAATTGTGAGTTGGTTAAGGGCTTTGACACCCTTTGAAATGGACCCTCTTTATTTCAGTTCTTACTTGCCACCAACTACTAGGCAAGGAAGATAAATGAAGCAATTTGGTTAAAATACCAGTTTGTATTGCTATTAGTGGCAAATAATAATCATAATCATAATAATAATAATAATAATAATAGAGAAAGTCATAGAAAATGCTCTGGGACTTCAGAATTCACACAGACAAGCACCTGCAACATAACACCCCGGACTTAAGAATTGTCGATACGAAAGACAAAAAAGGCTGGATAGGGGACGTGGCAGTGCCTGGAGACAGCAGCCTTTTTCGCCGAGCCCTGAAAACCCATCTATTTCGTGCGACCGGCCTGGCGTAGTCTTAATTAGATTTTAGTATAGGTTTTTATATGGGGTATTTTAGAGCAGGCCTTTATTTATTTAATTTGATTTTAGAATAGATATTTATTGTGATTTTATTATCGCCTGTTCACCGCCCTGAGTCCCGTAAGGGAGATAGGGCGGTATACAAATCTAAATAAACATAAACATAAACAGAATAGACGAGAAAGAACTGGAGAAGATAACAAAATACGAAGACCTACAAATAGAAATTAAAAGACTGTGGCAAAAGCAAGCAAGGGTAGTACCAATAGTAATAAGCGCCTTGGGTGCAATCCCAAAACAACTGGAGCACCACTTGAACACCATTGGCATTGACAAATTCACCATTAGTCAATTGCAAAAGGCGGCCTTACTAGGAACTGCTTCCATCCTGCAACGATATCTATAATACCATAAACCATCCACATTTACTTATCCCAGGTCCTTGGTAAGGACTCGATAGGTAGACAAAAATGCCAAATCCAGTCTGAACATCTGGCTGACTGGGCGATGATTAATAATAATAATAATAATAATAATAATAATAATAATAATAATAGTAATAGTAATAGTAGTAATAATAATAATAATAATAATAATAATAATAATAATAATAATAATAATAATAAAGTTGGAAGGGACCTTGGAGGTCATCTAGTCCAACCCTGTGCTCAGGCAGGAAACCCTATACCATTTCAGACAAATGGCTATCCAGTCTCTTCTTAAAAATTTCCAGTGTTGGAGCATTCACTGCTTCTGGAGGCAGGTTGTTCCAGTGGTTAATTGTTCTAACTGTCAGGAAGTTTCTCCTTAGTTCTAGGTTGCTTTTCTCCTTGATTAGTTTCCATCTGTTGCTTCTTGTCCTGCCTTCAGGCGCTTTGGAGAACACTTGACTCCCTCTTCTTTGTGGCAGCCCCTGAGATATTGGAACACTGCTATCATGTCCCCCCTCATCCTTCTCTTCATTAAACTAGACATACCCAATTCCAGCAACCATTCCTTATACTGTATGTTTTAGCCTCCAGTCCCCTAATCATCTTTATTGCTCTTCTCTGTACGCTTTCTAGAGTCTCAACATCTTTTTTACATCGTGGTGACCAAAACTGGATGCAGTATTCCAAGTGTGGCCTTACCAAAACATTGTAAAGTGGTATTAATACTTCACGTGATCTTGATTCTATCCCTCTGTTAATGCAGCCTAGCACTGTGTTGACTTTTTTGGCAGCTACAGCACACTGCTGGCTCATATTTAAGTGATTGTCCACTAGGACTCCAAAATCCCTCACAGTTACTATTATTGAGCAAGGTACCACCTATACTATACCTGTACATTTGTTTTTTCTTGCCTAAATGTAGAACCTTACTTTTTTCACCATTGAATTTCATTTTGTTAGATAGCGCCCAGTGTTCAAGTCTGTCCAGATCCTCGTGTATCTTAGCCTATCTTCTGGAGTGTTGGCTATTCCTGCCAGCTTGGTATCGTCTGCAAAATTGATGAGTTCCCCATTTATCCCCTCGTTCAAATCGTTGATGAAGAAGTTGAAGAGCACTGAGCCCAGAACAGAGCCCTGGGGCACCCCACTACAAACTTCCCTCCATGTAGATGCGGTTCCATTGAGGACCACACGCTGAGTATGGCCGGTCAGCCAGCTACAAATCCATCTGGTGGTGATGCTGTCTAACCCACATTTTTCTATCTTATCGAGTAGTAGGTTGTGATCTACTTTATCAAATGCCTTACTGAAGTCCAAGTAAATTATATCCACAGCATTCCTCTGGTCCACTAATTTTGTCACTTGGTCAAAGAATGCAATAAGATTTGTCTGGCATGATCTGTTTATGACAAACCCATGTTGGCTTTTAGTAATGACTTTGTTTGCCTCTAGGTGTTCGCTGATTCGTTGTTTGATTATCTTTTCCAGAATCTTCCCAGGTATTGCGGTCAGGCTGATAGGTCTGTAGTTTCCTGGATCTATTTTTTCCCTTTTTTGAAGATGGGAACTACATCAGCTCTTTTCCAGTCCTCTGGTAGTTCCCCAGTGCTCCAGGATCTTTGAAAAATATAGTTCAATGGTTCTGAGATCACATCTGCCAGTTCCTTGAGAACCTTGAAGTGTAATCCATCTGGTCCTGGTGATTTGAACTCGTCTAGGCTGGACAGGTGCTCACTTACCATTTTCTTGCCTATCTTAACTTGTGTTTCTAATCTGTTTTTTATGGTACTGTTTTTGATAGGTTGGGCTGTTTTTTTCCCTTTGTGTAAAGACAGATGCAAAAAACGAGTTAAATAGTTCTGCTTTCTCCCTGTTGCTTGTCACCTTCTTGCCACTTTCCCCCACTAATGGACCAATCATTTCCTTCACTTTTTTCTTGTTTTTTACATGTTGAAAGAAGCTTTTTTTTGTTATTTTTGACTTTGGTTGCAAGCCTTAGTTCATTTTGAGCCTTAGCTTTCCTCACTTCATCTTTGCAGGCTCGGGCTATTTGCTGATATTCTGACTTAGTTATGTGTCCCTCTTTCCACTTTCTATACTTGTCCTTTTTATCTTTCAATTGATCAGAGAGTTCTTTATGCAGCCATGCTGGTTTCTTTTGAGAGCTGTTATTTTTCCTCTTTGATGGTATTGTGCTAGACTGGGCTTTTATTATCTCACTTTTCAAAATTTTCCAAGCTTCTTGAGTTGTTTTCCCCTTGAGTATTCTCATCCATGGAATCCTTCCCAAGCTCTCTCTAAGTTTATTGAAATTAGCTCTCTTAAAGTCCAAGACTCTAGTTTGACTGTGTTCTATTGCTTGTCCTTCCAGAATGTTGAATTCCAATATTGCATGATCACTTCCCCCCAAGGTTCCTGTGGCTTTAACACCTTCTATCATTTCATCTCTGTTAGTGAGGATTAGATCCAGTATGGCTAATCCCCTAGTTCCCTTCTCTACTTTTGGGGAGACAAGGTTGTCTGCTAGGTTTGTCAGGAATCTGTTTGATCTTCCACTTGGTGCAGAGTTTGTCTCCCAGTTGATGTCAGGGTACTTAAAGTCCCCCATTACTATTGTGATGTGCTTCCCACATACCTTAGTTAGCTAACTAGCAAAACGTTCATTTATTTCCTCTGTTTGGTTGGGTGGCCTATAGTATACACTTATGGCAATGTCATTTTCCCCCCTTTTATATTGACCCAAATGCATTCAAGACAGTTTTCATCATTGTTGTGCTCTATTTCTGTAGAGATGTAGTTATTTCTTATATAGAGAGCAACTCCACCTCCTCTTTTGTTTGGTCTGTTTCTTTTAAATAATTTAAATCTCTCTAGCTGTGTGTTCCATTTGTGGGTTTCATCCCACCATGTTTCCGTACTTGCAACAATATCATATCTGCCCTCATTAACCTGAATTTCTAGTTCACCCTGTTTACTGTTCATACTCTGTGCGTTGCTATATAGACATTTGAGTCCTTTATGACTGACCCTGTGTTTACTTTCTACATAATCTGTGTGGTGCCTGAGTTCCCCTATTTTCTTACCACCTGTTTGGTTAGTGCACTTTGTGTGGCACTCGCTATTAAAAGCTTGATTTTGCTTGACAGCAAGGTTGATATTCTTGTCCACACACACATCTATGTTACATGCACTGATAACACTATAATTTTTAGATTGCCGGGGACAGGGATGTTCTGTATCAATTAACTCACTGTCCCTGTGATTTGTAGGCAGCAATCATGCTCTTTGCAGGCAAGGATAGTTGAAAAGTGCAATAGGACAATAGCATTTCTCTTTTCCCAGAAACAAAATATTACTAACTTTGGAAAATATGTGAAATGGTTGAAGGTCTTGGTTCTTCTTTGGAGAGGTAAAAATATCCTCTCCACTCAGTAGGATACATGGAGGTATCTTCTATGACTGCTTTGCATCATCCTCTAGACTAGTCATGTAAATTGGACAAATTATAGGACCAGTCCGGGAAGTAGCTATAA